TGTGGTGACCCCTTTCACATCGTCGTTGGAGAAGGTGATAACCTCCTCCGGCATTTGTTTCTTTGGTGGCCTATGTCCAACATACATTTGTCAAGTGTAGGCCTTACGGGTAGAAGCACTTTCTCTATCGGATGTTGTTCCTCCAAAAATAACATTGATAACCCTTGCAACGGGCCAATTTGATTGGGAATTTGCTTGCTTGGAGGCTGATCCCGCCAGGTGTTCACTAGAGACGTAGTCCTTGAGGTGTCCCTATTTGATAAGGGACTTTATTTTGTTCAACTCGCTACATTCTTCTGTGTTGTAGACGACATTGTAGTGGTACTTATAGTATTTATCTTGGTTGCCCTTTCTAGGGTTTTTTTCATCTTAGTCGACCATTGCAAGTACTCTTGCTTCTCGACTTACATTAAAATGTGAGTTCAGGTAGCATTCAAGGGAGTGTAGTTGTTGCATGATGGCACAAGTGGCTTCTTTTCCTTTTTGCCATTGGAGCCATCAAACCTTGGCTCATCTCTATCTTTCCTCTTCCTTCTGGTATGCTCTTGGGCCGATAGGCGCTTGCTGGTTTCAGTTTCCTCAACATTGATGTATATTTGTACTCTTGCTAGGAAATTAGCGATGTTGCAAGGTGGTTACTTGGTGAGGGAGAACTTGAAGGGAGACGATAGGAGGCCATTGGTGGCGACGGCTACGACCACCACTTGGTCAAGGCCCTTGACATCAAGTGTTTCGATGTTGAAGCATTGGATGTAACTTTGGAGTGATTCCTCGGGCTTCTACTTTACGGCCATGAGGGCAGCCGAGGTCTTTTAGCACCGTCGGCTGCTAACAAAGTATGGCAGGAAGATATCTGCAAACTGGTTCCATGAATTTATGGACCTTGGGGCGAGACCTGAGAACCATCTTCTTGTGACACCCCTGAACATGGTCTGAAATGCTCTACACATCAGGGCGCCAGAGAACCCATGGAGAAGCATGATGGCACAAAAGCTCTCCAGGTGATCTTTCAAGTTAGTGGTTCTATCATAAGTCTCCAAGGTTGTAGCCTTGAAGTTCTAGGGGAGTGGCCCCGTAGTGATGGAATCGACAAAGGCTTCCATACAACTCACTGAGTTGTGGTTGTTGGTGGAGGCGTCGGCCCTACCTTCTTTCACTAGTCTTATTTCTGCTCAGATGACATCAAGCTCCACATGGATGTCGTGAAAACAATAATCATTCTCTGTAAATAGGACCTCAGCCTGGTTGGGTGTCTCTCTCACCCGAGAGAGGTTAGGATGGTTCAGAGAGTATCTTGAGTTGCCTAGATCCTACCCCCCTCCCAAGCTCGCCAATTGTTTAGATGTTCGTAGAGATGTGAAACTTGAGGAGGAGGAGGAGGAGCGAGATGTTGGCCAACCTCGTTTTGGTGGGAGGGGCTATGGTGCTCCTTGTGCTCATCCTTACCCCCATGTGATTGGAGGCAGCTTGGTCAATGGGGTGCTCCCTACGGTCATCTGTGCCCTTGTGATGATAGGAGGCCTCTCAGTTGACATGTCAGCTTGGGGTAGTGTTTGGAGGAGCGAGAGTGGTATCATCTCACCAGGCGGTTGCTGCTCTCGGATTTCGAGGGTTCTTGTCTGACCCTTCCTCTCAACCGCTGACTAGTTGACTGAATGGAAGACCTCCTGCCCTAGTTTTCCTATGAGTCAATGGGTTGGCTATTTTGGGGCTGACCTCCCATTGGTTGCTGCAAGTTTTCCAGTCCATTAGAGAGTTTGTCCAATCATTAAAGTAACATGCTAAACTACTCCATTTGAACAAGTTTTGAGGAGTGGGAGGGACATTGTCCTGATGGTCAACCATTTGTAAGGTAGGAAGTGAAGAAATTCAAGTGTGAGAGGGATATTTGTTTAGTAAATTGTTATGACACCAATTATTGCTACCAAATATGGAGAAGAGGGCAACTTCGTCACTCCTGAGGTAAAGAGGTCTAGGGTCCCACCTACAAGAAGTCAAAAGATGTACAAGTCCCTGGGATGTGGTCCCAGGGGTGAGAGGACTCCGGCGATCAAATTAGTCGAGGGCTCAAAGGAATACGAGGTCTCAGTAAGAAAGAGCAGTTTGAGAGTGCAAGTGTGCATAAGAGTGATATCTGAGGTCATGGGCCCTTTATATAGTCGGTGTTGCCTGGGAGTCAGTGTGGTGTGCGCTATGTAACAACTCCACATGTCGGACATCGTGACTATGGCAATTAATGGGAGCATGATCCACATGGTCGAGCGTTACCCTACCATTAATGGGTTGGGGAGGGCTCAGCTAGGCGTAGCATCCGCAATGAACACCTTTGCATTGATGACAATGGAAAAAGACAGTGGTGTCCCTATATGTGGCCAAGATGACGGAAGTACCCTAAGAAGTGCAACTTGTTGCTCGCTAATGGAGTGACCAATAATACCAATATAAATACAAAATGGTTGTGGATCAGGTTTGGATTGCACACCAGCCAAATGAAAATCAATTTGAATGGGTTGGATGGACCAATAAGACATTAAATTGGACCAATCAAGACTTAATGGTCCAAAGCATTTATTGGATTGGATTAGACCTGGTCCATTTGTAATGTATTTATATTAGACTGGGCTAGATTGAATCAATATCCGGTTCATTTGGTAGAGGATAAGAGTATGAGTGTCAATGCATCGAGTTTTTGTTGGACCCTATCTAAATTAATATGAATTTAAAAAAAACAAGCGATCCTCACATTGGACTAGACCAATTTAGAATGGTTCAAAGTATTCATCATATTAGATTGGATTTGATCCATCTATAATTGACTCATATTGGATCTAGTTTGTTGGGTTGGACCAATATCCGGTCATTGATGGCCCTAGTTGCAAAATAGAGATAGGCTACAACTAGCACTGCAAACATATCAGATTGGATTCGGTAAGGGCATATTCTATTCATCTATTAAGAAAATCCGATAAGGATCGGTTGGATTTTCAAAAGCATGATTCGAATTCAAAGTCGAATGTATTATCAAATATCCGATTTGATTAGAATTATATTTATATAAATAATATAAAGAATATATTATATTATTTATATAATAATATAAAATATATAATATATAATATTTCATAATTAACGAATCGGATCGGGTCACAGCGGATCAGATCAGCCAATATTTGAATTCGATCCATTAACTTAACAAATTGACTTTTTCTGATCTAATCTGATTTGTTAGGATCAAGAAGGATACCCAAATCTGCCTCTTAAACAGATCGGTATTGGAGTCGAACCGGATCTGATCCGACTTATTTGCAGCCCTAGCTACAACCTAAGTACCTAACCACCTAGGATGTATGGTTCAACTTTCATTCTTGTTCTTTCTTTCCAATAATAAAATTCTAAAATGGAAAAAAGTGGGTACAAATGAGCATAGTGAGAAAATGTTGCTATAAACCAAACACTTTTTTTTTTCAAGAAAGGGATTTTTTATGTTTTTTATGGAAAGAATGAGAATAAATTTTGAACCTCTTTAGTTATAAATTTCATTTTTTTATGGAAGGAATTAGCACCTATTTAAAACTAATTAAAAATAAACTAGTTTGTTGAATTGAGTAAATAACTGTGCAAACGAAGAGAAGAGGTTGGAAATTCGAAATATAAGAATGAATAAAATTGGTAATAGTATATTCAATGAAAATAATATATTAATAAGTCATAAAATATAATAAAACGCCATAAAATTGGGCCTCATACTGTTTATTTTCATTTTTCAAAGAAGCTATATATAGGTGGTCTTAAATTGCTAGCCTAGGTCTCAAAAACCGTTGGCATAGATTTTTATTGGAGGATGGCCAACATCCATCTGTTGGAATATTTTTTCACAATATACTACCAATCATCCGCTGGTAAAAATCTTTGCCGAGAGTTTATGAGGCACCATTATTTTTAAAGAATGAAAATTTGCAATGAGGCAACCAAATATCATGTCTTAAGTTGGCTTAAATTTATGCCATGAACACATTTTTCATTCTTAAATAAATGAGGCTCATAGCAAGAATTTTGTAACCAAATGCTCTTATATGATTCATTCTTGCTCATTATTGCTCAGAATTAGCAAGAATTGAAAGAATGAAGCTTTCCATTGAACCAAGCATGGCTCTATTCTCTCCCATCTCTTACTTCTTCCTCTTTCTCCACTCCCTTCCCTTTCTCCCTTCTCCACTAGCAGCAGGGGACAGAAACCAAATTCAATCAAACCAAAGGTGTAAGAATTTATTCCTACCCCTCCCCCCTCTTACAATCCTTTACCGTACAATAATATAAGGGATGTTTGAAACTGTAGCCAATTTTCAAAAAAAAAAACAATACCACATTGATCCACATAGGCATTTCAACAAATATCCATGTATCTCATTGTTTGGTTCAGCCAATTATTAAAATATCGGGCGTGCCTAAAAAATCGAGACCGTCTCCCCCAACGGTTGACTGATGTATTTCTTATATGATGCTTACCTGTCAACACATATATGAAAAACGGTGATAAAAATCACCTTACCAAACAGCATAATGTTACTCACTGCCTACATGGCAGACTTTTTTTTTTGTTAAAAACGGGTCTTGAAAACATGAGAATTTTTTTTAAATCGATCCCAAAAGGCACCCATGCTTCCAAACACCATGATAGTGAAGAATTAACGAGAAAAAGGAAAAGAATAAGAACGTGTTGGGAGAAATCCCATGCTATCAGGCCATCAGAGGCCCCTTTACGGCCGCTTCAAGCAAGTGCATCATGCTATCAGCAACAACGTAGTGTGATTGTGTGACAACAGTCAACAGTAACTGCAAGCACAGGCTGCTCAGATAGAAAGAAATCTCAATTCTCACATCTCAGTAGGAAGTTTTAATCGGCTATCAGAATCACACAACTTAATCTATCAGAAATTAATGGTGGAAGCTGCCCAGAATTGTTTTGCAAGCTAGTAGAATTTTTGTTTGTCCAAAAAGTTACTAAACTATGAATTGAGGACTAAAGATAACATGAAATAATACAAACATTTTACAGATTTTAGATATACCCGCAGTCGGTTCAAATGATGAAAAAGTAAAAACATCTAAATGCCTGTAAGGTCCTGAGAGGGCAAAATGGAATAAAAACGGTAAAAAAGGAAAACAAATAAGAAAATAAATATTAAATTCTACCCAACATGATATCTAGAAAATCTTTTTAAGTGTAGATAACACCATCAATTGGGCTGGGGTGCAGGACAACCGAAGCCACCTAACCTAACTGGAAGGAGGCGATGGTGAAACCACAAAGATCAAGTGTCTTGTCCACCCCTCTCCAGAGGGACAATCCCAATGAGTGACTAGGTCAGTTGGCATTATTTCCTATTTTTGCTTTCCTCCCTATCCTTATCTCGCTTCTTGTAGAGCCTTTCAAGAACACGCTTAGCTTCACACTGGGGGAAATTAGCAAGATCGTAGTAGTGGGGTGCTATATCAACTAGCCTGCAAAATATAATAAAAATAGTGATCAACATACCACCCCAAGAAAATATAAACCAACTGAACAAGATTACGATAAATGACAGTGTAACATAAATAATTTCTAAATTTTTTTTCCTTTTTAGGAGTAATGTAAGTTCAATTATGAGAACCTCAGGAGAAAGAACGAAAAGGCAATTATAAAGGAACACATGAGAAGAAGCGTTTCAAAGAAACCAAAATAGCTAGCTATGTTTGTCTACACAACGTACAAAAAAATGCTACTTACATTTCATTTTATCATATTTGGTCAAAATTGCTCTCCCTCAGACAATGTGTTCCCTTTTTTTCTTATTTTTTTGGCAAGTGGTGATAATGTCTGACACCCAACACGTCTGCCATTGCCTAATGGCCTAGAGCACGGAATTTCTATTTCCTTCTTATTCTTTATTTTTTACCATATTTCTGTATCTAAAATCAAAAAACATTAACACAGAAATTGTGTCAGGAGAAAGAACCATTAACACAATTTCTGTGAGATGGAAATGCCCCAGTTGACAAGGACATATCCTCAAGGTCCATTTTAACCATTGGTAGTTCTACATACCAAATGCCAACAAAATAAGACAAAAAAGTGACTAGGCATCATTAAGCAATTGGTCAAAATATAAAAGGATCAACCCGAGTAAAAGATGAGTACATGCCCTGACCCTAAACTCAAACATGATTGTATCATTTCAGGAACTTTTACTCCTATATTATAGGACAATACATAAGATGAAGGTACTCATACAAATTTGGAAATGAAGGTATTCATACAAATTCGGAAATGAAGGTACTCGTACAAATTTGGAAATGAAGCAACATACCATTCACCACGAACATCTGTAACTGTACGAATGAAATTTCTGCTGGTCAAGACATACTCATTGTAAATGACCCACTCTGGCTTGTGATCCAAGCAGTTTGAAGGATGAAGATGAACCACCTGCAAAGGAAAACATTGGCCCAAAGCCAGTGTCAAGGAAAACAGAAATGAAGGAAGCATATTATAGATGAACCTAATAAATGTATACCTGGTTATCTTTCACCGTCAAATAGTGGCCAGTACGCTCAAGGTGAGCTACCTGCATGAAATACCCAGCCAGCATGGCTTTTCTTATATTGACGTAATAGTCACGGCTGTTGAAATCTGTGCTGCATAGCTTCAGATTGAATCGGGCCATGATACGTACAAGCTGTTGCCTCACATTATCAGCAGCCTTGAGTGCTCTATGATTGACAAAGTTCTCATAACACCATGAAGGATCTTCATCTGCAATATCCCATTAAGGAAAAATTAAGATAACAAATATCGGATGTCAACCTCAATTTCATTGGTCATAAGATTTGATACTCACTGTTTTGCTTATATGCATGATACACATTCAAAAGCGTAAGGTGATCCCCATCGATGTGGCCAAACCGAGCTTTAGCTTCATCTGCAGCTTTCTGCGCCTCCCTAGGCCGGACAAAGCAATTGGGTACTAAAGAAAGAAATTGTTATCACAGAGGAGGCCCACGGTAGGTCAGCAGATGCATAGAGGCGAGACGACACCATTTGCTTCATGAGAGAATACTGAGAAACTGCAACTATCTACATCAGCACTTACATAAAAACTTCTTTTGGCGCATGCCAACCTGTGGCATGGAACCCGGACAAGGCAGTTGCTGATGACAACCTAATAGGACAAAGTAAACAACACTAAAGACATGCACATGTACTTGCATATACGCAAGCTCCATTGCATGCTCGACTTTTTACCTATCCACATAGATAAAGATTGGGCCTGCAGTATCCCATCCACAAGCACAACCATATGATATGCTAACAGTTTAGCATAAGACCACGTCTACCAACATGGATATGCATGCCCTGGTCCAAGAAGACCCACATCTATATGTAGAGGACTATAAGACTCAAGATGGAGGCAAAGAGAAAACATAAGCAAAAATGTGGAGTATGCATGCATACCTGATAGCATCGCAGAAATAGATAAGATCTCGTTTGAGCAATTAAATTCAGGACTAACAACAAGCATCTTTGACATTTGAGGATCCAAAGGAAATTCACTCATGATTTCTCCCAACTTTGTCAAGTTCCCATCATCATCCAGTGCACCCAAGTAGTTCAGTACCTCCAATGCTCTCATCAATGTCTCTGGTGCAGGAGGATCCATAAAATCAAAATGAACAAGATCATCAATTCCTAGTTTCTTCAATGTGAGAACGGTATTTGCAAGATTCGACCGCAGTATTTCTGGATATGTCTGTGGCTGAAGATCAGTATTAAAACTCTTCTCAGTGTAGAGTCTAAAGCATTTTCCTGGTTGTGTTCTTCCAGCACGTCCTGATCTCTGGTGGGCACTTGCCTTTGATATTGGTGAGACCAGCAAAGATTCAACACGCACTCGAGGATTATAAACCTTTTGCTTTGCAAATCCAGGGTCAATAACATAAACTATACCATCTATGGTAAGGGAAGTTTCTGCAATGTTGGTTGACACCACAATCTTCCTCCCACAAGGACCACCCTCCTTCAGTGGAGGTGGGGCAGGCTCAAATATCTTCTGCTGCATAGCTGGGGGAAGTGTAGAATACAGTGGCACAGCTTTGACAGGCCCTACTTGATCACCCAAATTTGCAATTTCCTTTGTAATTTTCCGACATGCATCTTCAATCTCCTCTTCTCCAGTAAGGAAGACAAGTATGTCACCAGAGGGCTCACACATGTGTATTTGCACTACTGTCCGAATAGCAGCTTCAAGGTAATCCCTCTCTGGCTCCTGTGTGTAAAAAATCTCCACTGGATGAAGCCTTCCAGGTACTTTCATAAGTGGTGCCCCATAAAAATAACCCTGAAATTTTTCGGCCTCAAGAGTTGCACTCATCACCACCAGTTTCAAATCAGGTCTGTTTTTCAGTACTTCCTTCAGAAGCCCAAATAGAACATCTGTTGCCAAAGTTCTTTCATGAGCTTCATCAAGAATTATTACTTTATAGCGTTCTAGGAGTGGATCAGTCATGGCTTCTCTTAAAAGCATACCATCTGTCAGATACCTGCAAGGCAATGGGAGAAATAAGTATACAGTAACCAAAGGCAGAAACATCTGCAACAACAGCATGGTAAGATACGGATTCAAAATAAATCATATAGAATTTGTGATTTTTGAGTAATTTCAGCATTCTGCATCAATTAAGTTAATAAATAATAAGGTATGGAAAAGAGCCTTACTTGAGAACAGTTTTTGAACTACTACAATCTTCAAATCGAATGCTGTAACCAACTTCTTCTCCAATAGTCACATCCATCTCTTCTGCAACTCTACGGGAAACAGACATTGCTGCCACTCTACGGGGCTGGGTGCAAGCTATCATCATCTTTCTGCGCTTATCTGGAGTCTCTATGTCAACAGACTCTAAAACAAACTGAGGAATCTGTAGAATGCCAATTCACTCTTAGTTAGATAATTGGACTCAATTAAATAAAATAAATTATTGAACTAAACCAATTCCAGTGTTTAAAACAAAACGGCCAACCAGAAAACTTTGGTCCCAATAATTACAGCACGACATTCACAGGAGATTTTCAGAAAAATGTAATATGATGACAACACTACATTCTATATAAGTGAAATGATGGATGAGGTAATGGACCCTGTTTTTCAGTAAAAGACCACGCCATCCCCATCATCAGAAAAATTGAATCCACCACGATGGAAATGCTCACATGAATATCATCACAAAATGTATGAACATATAGGTATTTTAACAATCAGGAATCGTAAGGTTAAACAAGAGTAGGAAATTATGGTAAGTGGCACTAGCCAACACGTTTTTTTGGGCGCAACCAACATCTGAAACCCTCAAAGTAAAGAAGAAATTGTATAAACAATCTTCTCACGTAATTCTTAATTTTTTCAATTATAAAGAAATGAAAATTCGAAATTTGATTAAAAATACCAAGAAAAGCAACTTCATAAATGAAGATTCAAGTTACTGACCTGAGTGGTCTTCCCACTACCGGTTTCTCCAACCAAGATTATGACCTGGTTATCCCTCAAAACTCGCAGAAACTCGTCTTTCTGCTGCCAAACCGGGAGCGTCTTTCTCTTTTCCAGGATTTCATAGTATCTTGGCGTGTAAGGCCGGCCATTCCATCTGTTAATGCCCGAGTTGTGCGCTAGGCCCCCATTACTCTTAACGATTTTGGCAGAGATTGAAGTCTCATCCACCACATCGAATAAGCTCACCTTTCTCTTCCTCTCCGTCCCCATTCCTCTTCCAAACGTTAGAAATCAAGAAACAAAACAGAATTTGCTAAACCAGAAAACCAAATTTGAGACGTTTGGATGATGTGAAAGAACAATACTTGATTGATCTCAAGTCTCCAATCAAAACCCTAGAATGGCACAGACTCAAGCTAAATTTGAGACACCTTCTGCACCAGCGCCACCACCGGTACCAACTAGTTTCTGTGCCCTAGAGATCGAACCCGCTACTCAGAAGGCGTCGTCGTGGCTGAAAGGAAGTTAACGACTAGGGCTTCTAACCTATATATACAAAGAAAAGAACTTTCTCGAATTAATCGTACTAGAATACTCAGTATCTCGCACGCACGGTAGTCGGTAGGTGGGCAAAACACAGCGGTTTTATTTGGATCGATAGTAAGTTTGGTCATGGCCCATGAATTGTTAGTGGATAACTGGCCCAGCCCAATTCGGAGGCTTTGCCCAATGGGAATATGGGGTTATTGTTAGGGTTAATTACTTTTATAAAAACCTTCTACATTTAGGAAAATCTTGAACTTTCCAAAACCTATTTTATACATACGTTATTGACCGGCCCCTTATAATATATACAAGACTTCGTTAATGAACCGTTTAGAACCGTTAATACCTTATTCTAAATTTTTTATAATACCAATATTGTCCCCATAGGTTTTATGACTAAAAACCAAAATCTAAAAAGTTTTGTGTTGAACAGAGGGATGATTGAACAGAACTGAGAACCAGTTCTATGATTAATACTTCCTGTTTTCTTTTTTTTAGCACCAATATTGCCCCACAGGTTCTATGACTAATACCTTGTTTTTTTTTCCTTCCTTCAACGGCTGTGGAGGACGATAGAAAAAGATTTAATTGGAGGATTGCTTCACTTCTGTTTTGCACCCAAGGCTACGTTTAGAAACAATGCAAATAAAATGTAAATCCCGGTTCAGGGTAAATTTGCATTTTGGTTTACTTTTGCCTATGTTTGGCAATATTACATTTAGGGGGCTTTCTTTTTTTGGATTTTGAGAAGGAGGAAAGTTGGTCAATGGGATTTTGGTTCTCATTGACCAAGAATTCCATCTTCATTTTTCAGATTAATGTGAGGACCAGGGAAAGTTTATTTTCTTAGGTGGGTAAATAACTTTCCCACCTAGGAATAAAGTTGCTAACACTTGAATGGGACAAAAATGCCCCTTTTAATAATGGATTTTTATGACTAAAATGGTCATTACCTTATTTACCTAAGAAATAAAAGAAAATGGGTAAATGCATTTACCCGGACAAGTAACTTACCGAAAAACGAACAGGGCCTTATGCATTGACAAATGACATACCAATGCATATTTACATTGATAATAAGATGTAAAAGTACATCAATAAAAAAAAGTAAATTTGCATTCAAGTGGGCTTTTGATAAAAAAAAAAGGCGTATGCTTTATTGGAATGAATGTTTGCATCCATTACAGCTAAAAGTCTATTTGGTAAGAAGGTAAATTTGTCGGTGCAAAACTAACCCAATTTTGCAATTTATATGAACCGTTTTACATTACATATTTGCATTCACACTTATTTGCATTGTTTCCAAATGCAGCCCAAGTGAAAGTTGGTGTATGCACTTTCAGAATTGGAAAAGGTGTTGAAAATGTGTTGATACCCTTATTAAACCCAAATCCTCCATTAGGTTGGAATCCCCTGTAGACCAGTTTGGATTTAGCCGTGGATATAAGTCAAGGAAGGACGGTGCTATGGCTAAGTAATGAATGAGACAAGGCTGGAGAGTGGAGAGTAGGCATTAAGCAATAACTATGAATGAAAGGTCGTGGGAAGGAGGAGGAGTTTCTATGTAGGTGGTTTTTGCTTATTATTGAGGGAGTTTCTCCTTCTTTGTTTCCTAGTACAATCCATGGTTATTCCACCAGATTGAGGTTCCAATGTGGTCCCAATTGAACCAGATTTATGTCATGGATAGGGCTCAGTTTCAATTGGCCCTCCAGAGTCTCCTCTTGTAATTAGTAGAGGCAATTGGGTGGTGAGGTAGGTTTTGTTCGGGTTGAGATTCAACCCAACTCATTTAACCCACCAATCCATTAATGACCTAGTTATATAAAATTAAATGAGTTAGGTTCAACCCAAACCCGCCTTGAGCCAATCCAAATCGTCTAACCCATTAACCTTATATTTATGTACTTAAAACTAAAAACTAACTCCCTTTTGATAAATAACTTAGTTATAGCTTGGTGGTAATAGTAATTGTTATTTAGTGGTAAAGGTTCAAATCACATTACATGCATATTATTTTTACAAGGAGAATAAAAGGCAATTAATCACTTGAAACCATTTAACTATGTTCAAGTTTCAGGTTTGAGAATAAAAGGCAATTAATCACATTAAGAGCGGTTGAACCGTTTGGATTCGGACCAATCCAGTCAGACCAGACAGGTTTAGTCAAATGGTGGATTGGCTCGAACCAATCCATTATCGAGTTGTGCATGGGTTTGGGACCGAGCCAACCGATCTGAATTGGGTCAAGGCAAGCAGTCCAAGTCAGTACAAATTCGGGTCGGTGTTGGTTCGGGTTGTGTAAGCTTGAACTGAACCGACTAATCCAAACCTGACCAAAACTAGAGGATCAAGTCAATTCAGGTTGGAGCATGCTAGTCCGAATCTTGGTCAAGTTAGCCCATCCATACCAGATCTATATTTGGGTCAGACCACATCGTCCCAATTCGGATTAGATTGACCAACCCAAATGGATCGAATCGAGGTGATCGGGTCAATTCATATTGAACTAATCTAGACTCGATTCAAATTTATTTAGATGCATGTCGATTTAGGCGGAGTGTGTTGATTCAAGGAAAAACTAATTTTAGTCAATAATTAATAGAAAATCAATGCATTAATTATAAATTATTTCACTCAAATGAAGAAAAAATGGCTAAGAAATTCATGCTTGTATCTTTAGTGGTTAACCCAATGTTATCCAAAACCTAACCTATTTAAATTGACCCAATGGGTGATCAACCCATTTCCAACCCACCAAGTAAATGGGCGGGTTAGGTGGGTTGGGTGAGAAATTGCCGCCCCTACTTGTAGTTAGAGTTGGAATTAGTCTCCCATTGCATCTCAAGTTTTCCAATGGAAAGATTCTTTATGGAGCCAACAACAATAGGGCCTACGTTGGATTGACGTTCTAATGACGTGGGTTGGAGATTTGGTGTTTGTAGCATCAAAGAACAAGAACAAGAAGAAAGAAAGGAAGGAAGAAATGAAAAAGAAAAAAAAAAGAAAAAGAAAAAGAAAGAAAGAAAATAACATATTTTGAAAATTTAATGAGTATTTAAGGATATTTTTGTCTTTTACTTTTTATCTATTAGGCTTAACCTTTGAAATGTCAACAAGGTATATATAAGTAGATTTTGAAAGTTTAGGGAAGATTTATAGTTTATTAAATATATAGGTATATATAAGTAATTATCCTTTATGGTTATTGATGATGCACGATTTGCTCATTCCCTCATGTCTGATGAGGTGGCTCGAACTAAGTCCAGACTTGACGACACCAAGTTGTGATGCCGAGCTGGAAGTCCAAGCTGAGAGATTCTGTGAAGAGAAGTAGGTTAGAGTGCCTGGGTATATTTTACCTAGGAAAACACTCTAATGCTTAAGTCAGAGAGGGGATTTGATGAGAATCCTTGAGAGAGTTCAAGAACTCTAGTGAACCTACCTTTTAGAGTGCCCCCGGGTTCTTTTTATAGTTATTGGGTGTTCAGGTGTCATTAACCAACGTCTTTGAGCTTTCTGCGGAGTTGTTTCCATAGTTTGAGGGAATGTTGGGTCGTTAATTGCTAAATTCACGTGGCGGTTACAGGTCACCCGCGGGTCTCATTGCGCATGGTTCGACGAGTTGTTCCTGTAGTCTCGGTAACGGTACTAGATTAGACATGGCGCGCGGGACAGTTTTGGGTGAGCTGTCGTTGTCGGTGGGCCGAGCTCGCCTCAGCTCGACCACGCACCTGTTATAAGCTGCCACGTGTTGAACTGGTGAGCTGTCTTATTGATTTGGACGTTGTGTTGCTGACAACGTCCACGTGTCCACCGTCAAGTGGGTTGACCAAAATATCCCTCATCAATTGCCTCCCACTCTCGAGTCACTATCTAGTAGGTGAAGAGAGTAGAAGTTCCTGGGGCATTTTTGTTTCGACTTGCTTTTGTTCTCAGGTTTGGTTTGCCTTTTCAACCGGTCTGGTTCAGCGCAGCTGGTTCAGCTTGTTCGGCTCGGTGCGGTTGATGAGGTCTACTATCGTGAGATGGTGGGCTTTTTAAATTTTGAAAACCCGTGCCATTTCCTCTTTTCAAATTTTTGCGATTGGAACGCTAACAGGTTTAGCGTGTGCACCTGCCTGCAACTGTCAACAGCCTGTCAAGTGCAAGCGCCACTTGATTGTGGGAGACATGCTCTTCTCACATTGCTTCCAAATCTAGGCCGTTGACTTCTTTCCTGTGAGCTTTAAATATGGGGGCCCTCGAGTTCCCCACTTTGTCACTGTTCTTTGGATTTTCCTGAGGATAGGTGTGTGGCGAGAGTTTTATGTTTTTTGTGGTTGAACTGCTGAGGTGAACTATGTTCTCTGTGGGCAAGCTGTATTTTCTTCCTTTACCAAGTTCGGCGGCTGTCGTTTCGAGTCCTTCCTAGCGTTCTTCTAGTGAGTACTTCATTCTCGACATGTCTCACAGTTCTACTGAGAATAAAGTTCATTGTAGTGGGTCAGGGGAGGAGTCTAGCTCCTCTGATGAAGAGTCTTTTGAGGTTTTCTGTGATGGGGCTTTGGTAGGAAAAAGGGAAGAGATTGAGGCTACGACAAGTTCGTTTGGGGGGACCCAGTTGTCAGGGGAAGAGATAGTAGAGGTATGTCATAGGTATGAGGTCCCAGACGAGTACTAGTAGATCGTGCCTGGTCCTGGTAGCTATCCTTGGGAGCTTGTTCATGAGGGGCAGTCTTGAGGCGTTATCAAGTGTCTTTAGGCCAACTTGCCCCTAATGGGGTTAGGACACTGATTGGGTTGATAAGCTTGTTCCATCACCATGACTTTCCTCTGAGCATTGAGGCCTTCTCGGCTTTGGTGCACATGAAGCGGGTTCTGGGTCCCTTCTGTTTCTATCTTCCCTTCCGTAGTGGGAAGAAAATTTTTAACTTTCCCAACAAGATTAGGAATTGGAGGCAGTGATTCTTTTTTCTTGAGAAGCATGGTGACAAGGGCTGCGGTACTAC